CGATTCACCTTTAAACACATATCATAAATAATCCCGATCATAGGTTACTCGAGAGAGACATCGTGATAACCGGACAGACTAGTGTGTTGTATATCCGTCTATATGATGGATGTAGCTGGTTTCATAGCTGCTCATATAGGGACACTAAGGATATAGTACTGGTGCTCAATGGAGAATGAGTTCACTGATTGATCCGCTTACGGAATGCTGGATGGTTGATGATGCCTTATTGTCAAACAACGATTCCATAGTCCTAATGGTATATATGGTCCTTAGACTTGAGACACCAAGGATGTCCTATATGAGTGCTCCACTCTTTGATACCAGACTTATAGGTTTGGCTATCCCAAATCTAGTACAACTAGTCATTGGGAGTGGTAGTCGACCTTATGAGGGATATTGAGTGTTAATAGAGGATCATCCACTCTCGGCGTCATGAGAGGAATATCTCATGTGTTCTTGCTCAGACAAATCCTTGGCCAGGGTCATTTGGGTTGAGAGAGAAAGAGTTCTCCGAGAGAATCTGATTAGAGTGAGACTCGAGTAGAAACCATATGGGTCTGACAGCACCATGCTCGATATACGGTCTTTGGGATATTAGATGGATGAGAGACTATAGGTACATGGTAATTGAGGACAGACAGGTCCAATGGATTGGATTCCCCTATATCGTCTGGGGACTACGGTGTAGTGGCCTAGTACATCCGTAGTCGATGAGTCAAGTGAATCATTACAGAGATAATAATTCACTGAGTTAGAAGGAGTTCTGACGGGTATGACTTATGGCCAGCTCGATATTGGGCCTAGAGGGTCACACACATATGGTAGGCATTGCGATGAGTAGAGGTTCGAATATGAGATATCCAACGGAGCCCTTGTCTTATTGGATATCCAATAAGCACCTGAATTATTGGATCCCATGGACGAGATCCAATAAGATCCCATGAGAGATTATTGGATAGAGATCCACTAATCTAAAAGGCTTGGGTTATTGGATGCAGATCCAATACCCACTAGGCGAGGATCCATTAGGGTTTGACAGGGAACCTCTATAAATAGGAGGGATTCAGAGCCTCATAAGCTAGAGCTTTTGCTTGCCTCTCCTATTCTCCTTCCCCTCTCCACCTCAGAGTAGGCCTGGAGTTTTTGAGGAGCGTCGTCGCAACCCTACTATGTGGATCACCACTAGAGAGGAGGATGCTTGACCTCCTTCACCCTCTCCTAAGGATCTGTAAGGAAACAGGGATATACGATCTCCCTAGGTAACACAATATATTCTATATGCTGTTTTTCAGTTTCACGGATTTTGTGCACCAATCTTCGCATGACGATGAACATCTATTTGAGAATCGGGGATTTTGTTTTCATGTTCTTTTGCTGCGCATGTGATGTCGCCCCCAAAGATTTTCCTCATAGTGGTATCAAAGCCAGGTTGTTCGTGCGATAGATTGGTTTTAAACTGCGTGTGTTGTGTTTTAGAGAAGCTTTTGACATCAAAATCGTTGACACAAAAGCGGAAAAGAGCAGCAACTGTTGCTGCCCTCGCTGCCGTCATAGATGGCAGCACTACTATCTGCGTGCAGGCAGGCAGCCTACAACAGCAGCCGCAAGGACAACGACGCCTGCGGTCGCTGCTCTCGTGTGGTGATGCGCCGTAGGGCAGCGACCCTTGTGGCCGCTGCTCCCGTGAGCAAAAACCCAGTAGGGGCGGCCGCCCGGCGAGGCTGCATCGCCTACGAGCGCTACCTAGCGGGTAGAACCGCCCGCGAAGGGGACAACGCCCACAAGGGGGCCCGCCCGCGGGGGCGCCCAACTGCAGGGGCAGCGCCGCCAGCGGGCGTGCCGCTTGCAGGCAAGGGCAGCGACCCCGCCCTCCGTCGCACAACCCACC